AGACGGGACCAGTTTGGGATTTCCAACCAGTAGCAGCAGCAGTCCCATGACCAGGTGCTGAGGTTGGCCAAACATTTGCTGACTGCAAAGCCAAACAGAAGGACCACCCCAACCCAGTGCAACAGGTAATTAGTTTTGATGGCAACAAGCTTCCATGTCTTTCCTCTTTTTCTGCTGTAGGACTTTTCCTCTCTTCGTTGTTACTCCATCCTATCCTTACTACATTCTCTTCTAAAGAAAGGGGCAACCAGGAAGAAGTGCAGCCTCTACCTTTCTCCAGCAATTCTGAACTGCAGCACAAGTAGAAAAGCTCTCTGGAAGAAGTGCTTTGGGCTCAAGAACAGCTTCTTTAAGTGAAAACACAGCTGTGAGGTTTGCAGGCTGTGCTTCTGTAAGGGCTCATCCAGTCAGCACAGCCAGCAACGCTGCAGCCTTTCCAGCACGCAGGAATTGGGAAATCCATTGTGAACAAGATTGAGTTTGATGGCCTGTGTGCAGGCAGATGGATGTATTTTTAAGGGACGAGGTGCCAGAAAACTATGTGATTACGTTACTGGAGCACGGCTCGTTTTTTGTGGTTTTAAAAGTGAGTGTCAGGACTTCAGGGCTTTTTTTTTGTGTGTGTGTGTGCGTGTGTGGGTCAAAACCGAAGTTTGGGAGGGGCATAAAAACCTGCTTGATGACTAAGTTTATTCTTAAAAAGCTTTCTAGAGCTTGCTAGAGAAGGAAACCTTCATCTGTAAGTAGTCTTTTTGGACCTCCATGTAGGAGGGATTGTAATTGAGTGAGTGCCACAGGTAGCAGAGTCCCCCTGTCCTTTAGGAGATTGTTTTCAGAGTAATCTTTAGATCCAGTTCCCTAGGTTTTGTAACGCAGGCTTATGTTCTGCTTCTCCTTGCTGTGAGTGGTCTCTTTCTGCTTGTACGCCAGTGCATTGGTGGATTTACCTTGAACAGCATAATCAAGGCTGGCAGAAGCATGCCTTTACGTTGACCCAAAATGGGAACATCTGAAACCTTTGACCTGGTTGCTCAGCTGAACTGATAATATCTCTCCGGACCAGTGCATGTGTAGAGAAGACTTTCTGTCTGATGACAGAGGTTTGATACTCAGAGCCAAAGGGGGATTCAAGCCAAACCATTTACTCAGGGGGCACGTAGAATTTGCCCAGTCAAGTCAATATCAGTACTGGCAGTGTTTTAGCAGCCAGAAGGATTCTCACCTGCTTGTGCTCTCTCCTTGTTGGAGCTACCAGACTGTCACATGACCGGGCTCCTAATTGCTGTAGGCCTAAAACTTGCTTTAGAATGAGGGCTGCTGCTGGCTGCACCAAAGCCCAGGCAAGCCTTGAGGTCCGCAACAGCATCCCTCAGGAAAGTGGCGTTGCCTTCAGCTCAAGCTTCCATCATGCGCCATCCGACATAACCAGTGGTCAGCCATGTACTGTAAGTACATTCTCTTCCACCCCCCACCAGTGGCCAGATCATGAGCCCACCTCTGCTGGGTACCATGTGTGCAATGCTCTCCTTTACTGCGGAGTCAAAGCCCAACCCTGTGAGCTGCCCAGGGAAGCGGTGGAGTCACCGTCCTTGGAGTTGCGTAAGGAAAGAGTAATTGATGTACTTAGGGACGTGGTTTAGTGGGCGATACTGGTGGTAGGTGGACTCTTAGACTAGATGATCTTCGAAGTTTTTTCCAACCTTAATGATTCTATAATTCTTCTGTTTGGGTGTACTGCAATTGCATCTGGCAGCGAGTGAGCCTATCCATCACTGTACGCGCACAGATCCCAATTACTCCTTTTGACAGCTCTTATCCGTGCACCTCCCTGTGCCTCTGACATCTCAATTATTGATGGGGCTCTCCTGGTAAGCTGCGCTCTGTTTGCAGCATGGCTGTGTTCCAGCTCCCTTTCCCATTGAGTTCATGCACGCACCGCACCAAGCGTTTCTTTATGTGCAAAGCTATTGAAGTGGAAAGGGATCTTTATTAGCATGTGAGCTTTGGGGCTGTGCTACTGAAGAGGGCAGTGCAAGCCAAATCGCACGGCTCAGCGCTGGGAAATCTCCCCCTCCTCTCCCTGTGAAGCCCAGCAGTGTCTTGTAAGATGAAATGATCTCGTATGTTTAATGCTGAAGATTGCTTGAGCTGATGAGCCTTCCTTGTGACAGGGTCACCCTGCACTTTCATTTCTGTAGGAAACCAGCCCCCCGCTGCCCCTACAGACATACAGTCCTGTATTTTGAAGAGCAGTGGCCTTTGCTTTGTCTGGATATTTGTTTGCTGGCTTTCTGGCAACTCTTTGCATTCTGATGAGGAACACAAAAAAGGAGCTTCAAAGCAGCGTGCGGTGTTGGAGCAATGTTGTCAAGTTGGTTCAGAGTTAGAGCTGTGCCAGAGGGGGTATTGCAGAAGCCTGTTTGTTTTGTAGGTCTGCATGTACCTGGAGGCTTGGGATGTCTCGTGACATTGCTGTAGCAGAAGTCAGATAGGAGGGGATGATAAAGTGGTTCAGCTGCTGGCATCTCTCCTATCCCCAGCAACCTTTAATTCGGAAGGAAGCAGATGTTTGGTGCTTAGTGAATGAAGGTAAAAGGAAAGGACAGCTGCTGCATAGCAGTACAGTCCTCTTAAGACTGGCACTGTGGATATGCAGAGATGGCTGAGCCTGCCCAGCATGGTGTGTTTTGTTTGTCTGGATACCAGATCCAGAGAAAGAAGGGTTAAAATAACAAAAATTGCAGCTGTGGTATCTCAGGGAGCTGTCATCTTTGCTTTCTGGGTAGGCAGGATCTGTGGGACCCCATCCCCCAGAGAGACACCCTGCCCTACCTGATAGCTGTCCCCTGCAGCCTGTCCAAACACAGCTGGTTTCCCTCACAGCCTTTTTCCTTCCTTCCCATGCCCTGGACTCACCCCTCCCACAGAGCAGTGCTGCAGAGCCCAGGTGAGCTGTAACTAAAGGTGCAAGCCCAAAGGCCACTGAGCCACGAGCTGGCAATGGGAGGCTCAAGCCATCCTCACTGTGCCCCGATCAGAGCTATTGTTACAAGCAGCCAAAGCCACACATACCCAATTTTGTTCTTTCTTTTGTTTTCCTTGCCTGCAATGTGGTCCCTCCCCTCAAAGCGCAGGGTGTGTGGGGCTGCGATAACCGCTGTCCCTTTTGGCTCAGCAGTGCTTTCTGATATCCCAGCAGGAAAGCTTAGGATAACCTGACCTGGGAAAATGGCTTTGGGGAGTTCCCAGCTCCTCCTGCTCCCAGAGGTGGGTCTGAGCGATACTGTGGGCTGCAGCAGGTCAGAGCTCACAGGGCAGGTGCAGTTGGGAACAGCCATGTGCAGGTTGCCAATTGGACCGCAGTGTGAATTGCTGTACCTCTGCCTCGAACACACACACACAGCATGGACACATGTGCTGCATGCTGCTGTAGGAGTGTGTTTCAGAAGGGCTTACAGGGTTGGGGTGTGGAAGTCACAGGAGATTGGTTGGGTTTGGCTTCAGCGTTGCTCCTGGTTCTGGACTCAGTGTCCAAGATGGTGAAGTTTTCCATGATTTCATGGTATTCGTTTTTATTTGGGTCATTGAGAGCACAGTGTCAGACTTTGCTCCTCCGTAAGGAAGGGAATATTGGTGCTCCGTGCAGTGATTCAGCACATAGAGTTTCTTAACAGCCTATGGGAGAAAGATGCTTTAATTCACTATTTACTCCTGAATAGGCCATCAATTTGAGTTAGCAATTTCCTCAGAGCCCAGAGGAGAGAGTGTGATCAAATGGAGCGGCTCAGCACCACTCTCCTCCTCTCCCTGCTCAGCGAGGTCAGGCTGAGTGTTGCTAACATCTCAGCCTTCACTGTGGCCTTCCAGGCCCATTTCAAGTCCTGAATGATAGCAGAATCATTAAGGTTGCAAAATACCGCTAAGATCACCAAGTCCAACCCCAACCCATCCCCACTGCAGTGCTGAGCACATCACTCACTGCCATATCTCCATGGTTCTTGAACACCTCCAGGGATGATGATCCCCCCACCTCTCTGTGTAGCTGTGCCAGTGCACCACCACTCTTTCTGAGAATTTTATTTTTTTTTCCTGATGTCCAACCTGAACCTGGCACAACTTAAACCCCTTGTACTACTGCTCTCAGCCACCCCCTCTGAAGGATGTGGCCCCTGCCACCTAGTCCTGGTGAGGGGCTGCAGCCCTCCTGCAGGGCACAGAACTGCCTGTGGGGCACACACATGGCCCCACCAGCCTTCCCTGGGGAAAGGGGCTCAGCTCAGCCCTTTTTCAGGGCTGTTTGGCATATCAAATCACCGGAGACGTTTTCACCAGAAATGAAGTCTCCTTTCAGAACTGCTCTGTGAAAGAGGATTAGCTTTTCCCCCTTAAATAAATGGAGCAGAGCAGTGTCTGCAAGCCGCCAGCCCTCGTTGAGTGCCTCCTTGGAGCAGCAAGGAAAGCAGCTTCCAGGTCCCATCGCAGCCTCCTGCCGGACGCCGATCCAAACTGCAAACCCTCCTAACAGCTCTTTAATAACTCCGCGCAGAAGGAAAAATCTGTCACCTTTCCTTCTGCGGTTTCTCCTCCGCTCTAACGCGCTGGGGGAATGGGATGGAGCCGGGAAGGCTTTCAGAGAAAGGCTCGTGGGAACTGCAGCGAGCGCTCCTCTCTTTGGTGTCTGAGGGGAACCGCAATCGCTTTGGTGAAGGGCGGTGTGTGTGGGTGGGTTTGGAGGGGTGAGCCGCTCTGACCCATGCATTGCAGAGCAACCACAAACACTTTATAGTAACAAAGGGTGGAAAAAGCGAGAGCCTTTCTGCAACGCATGTGACTTTTCCCTGAGGTTTGGAACCCCGCGCTATGTTCCAGGCCACGGTGTTTGCGTGTCAGGCTCGGTGAGCTGCTTGGAGTTGCTGTGATGACTGAGAACGCAGCCTAAAATGTTGCTTTCTTTTTTGTCTCTCCCTTCTCATCCCCCCCCCCCCACCTCTTCTCTGCAGCTGAAGCTCTCGTTTACCTTGGACCAGGAGAGTGGGATGCCTCAAGGCTGCTATATCTATCAGTACCGGGACAGCAACAAGTAAGTCCCATGGGTGTTGCACACAGCAGATAAGGGAAGGTGCACCCTTCCCCTGGAAGAAGGGGACTGCACTGTGTCAGGCACAAGGAGCACAGCTGCTTGTACCACTTAAAAGTAGGTTGAAGCAGGCTTCAGGCTTGACCTGAACCTGGGAACAGCTCCTGCAGAACCAGCTCCTTTAACATGCACGAGGCCCTGCAGCCCCTTTGTTCCATAGCTCCCTGAAAGGCCAACCCTTGGGTACTGTGGTACTCAGCCAGGCTCTGTCCTGGGCTGTTTGCAGCTGACATCCCACTCTTCTGTGTGGGAGAGTGGGCTGGGATAAGCATACCCTCTGCCTACCTACACAGAGCTGCAGCACCATATTCTCTCTGCTTGAGCTTCACTAAACAGCTTTTCATTTGTAGGTACCGTAACCCAAATGCAGCCATTCTCCCTGTTTTTATGAAGTCCCTTGTGATACTCAAGTTCTGGAGCACAGTCCTCCATTTCTAGATGCCCTGCCTGGCTTTGCTAGCTGCCTAGTGAATTGGTCCCCAAGATGTTTTTATTTCAAATCGTGTTCTCATTATCAAATTGATGGCAGCAGCACAGTTGAGGATATTTCTGTGCTCGCGCTAAGTTGCTTTGCGTGAATACCAGTGTGTCATAAATCCATAGCCTGTTACCTCCACCCTTAGAGCTCTGCTTCTTGCCAGTTATTGAAGGTTGGCCTAAAATAGCAAGGTATGTGAAATTGTCAATGAGTGCAACACCCTGTAATTAGATCTGCTTTGAAACGCTGAGAGGAGCAGCCCTGACAAGGAAGAAATAAATCTGCAAACAGCGCCTACCCCTTTCTGAGCTGAGAAATTTCTGTTTGAAAGGCAGCTGCACACAATGGGCAGTGAGGAAAACCCCCAGGCTTGTTGGGTTTTGTTACAGATGTGTGCAGATCCCATGTTTCTAATTGTGGGGATGTATCTCCAGAGTCAGCAGACGTGTTTTCTGCACTGATCCTCCTCTCCTCTAGCCCTCCATTGTTGGAAGAAACTCCTGGGATGGGAGTGGAGCTGTTTGGTGCAAGTGCTGAGGCCAATAGCAGCATAGTTGCAAACATCGCTTTTAGCCGTGAGCCATCCAACAGGAGACAAAGTCACTGCAGCATGTTGGCAGCTGTTGCTGTTAGAGATGTATGGCTGTGACCTGCATTTCTGGCAACCATGAGAACTGAGACACCCAGAGCAATGTCAGCCAGGATTGTGCATTTATGAAACATGGTGCAGGCAGGAGGAGTGGAATTGCAGGCACACTGAGACCTGTGCACATCTGACAAATCCAGGCTACAATGGCATCTCCCCACGAGGCCCTCTGCTTTATGTTTTACAGCTGTCTTGAGCAGACCTGGGGCTGGGGAGGAGGATAGCTGTTCCCAGGGAGAGCCCAGCAAGGTTTGGGCATGCACTCACCCCCTGCACCGCATGCCCTGAGCCCACTTGTCTGATGGAGTGGAGCGTGGAGGTCTGTGCTACAGCTGTGTATTGCTGCAACCCAATCCCTGTGTCCACACCATGCTTTGGAGCTGTGTGCAGCCCAGAGAAGAAATGCCATGAGATGCTGTGCATCCCTGCCTGGCGAGGCTCTATGCCACCAGGGTAGTGTCCCTTCTCTTCAGGTGGCAAATGCTGTTCCAGGCTGCAGCCAGACGGGGCCACCGGAGCACAGCATATGCTGGCCTCCGCTCGCAGAACAAAGGGCTGAGTGCTGCTGCAAGTGTAATTACCAAAGCAATTAAAATTTCTATTGCTTAGGCTAGCAGTGCAAGTACCGTGCAGGCTCCTACAAGGGCAATCAATTGGAGTTTGTTCTCTTTAAAATGATAAAACCTTACCAAGGAATTTATGCTTCTGGCAGCTTTTTGCTCCCTGCCTGCCTGTTGTGCTCCAGCAGTGCTGGTTGGCACTGTGCTTACTGGGAACAGGTACTTAGGGAAGACTGGGATCAGTGATGCAACTTCCCCAGCATCACTCAGGGCATGGAACTCTGCACCTTCTTCTGCGGAGCTCTATGTAAACTCCAGGTTTGGGGAAACTTTGGTCTTTGGGAGCCTTGGACTGAGAGCAGAAATAATGCTGAGCATCCAGCTGGTCTGCCCTTGGTCCTCTGCTATGATGTATTGCTATTTGATGGCACTTAATAGTCCCTGCAGAGCTCAAGGTGCTGTGCTCCAAGCAGGCTGTCAGTGCAGCCACAGGGGGGACCAGGGACATCACTTCTCCCCTTGTTCCTGCTCAGACTCAGACACTTCCCTCCCTTTGGCTGCCAGCCCTTTGAGCTTTCCTGGCTCTACAGGAAATTGCTTGACCTCACATAGATGAAAGCCGTTTGCTTTCTCTTTTTTAAGCCATGGCACTTAAATTCTCCTTAACAGAGATCAGTCAGTACAGTGTGCAGAGGACAGGCTGCTGTACCTGGCTGCTCTAGGAAGGCAGTTCCCAGCTGTGACATGGGGACAGCCTGATGATGTGTGCACAGTGATATTCTGAGCAGGAGAATATTGTCAGCCTCATGTTGCCCCAGCACAGTCACATCCAGGAAAGGAGAGCCTTGCCATCCTCCCTACAGTGTGAATGCAGCATGTCTGGTGCTTGGCTGCTCCCTCCTTCCTAAGCTGAGTTTCCATGTGCAGGATCCAGTGGCAGAACCCAGACAGGCAGTACAGGCCAGCAAGGCCAATCATATCCACCATGGCCCATGAATCTTGTCTTTTGACCCACTGGTCCCCAACATAGGAATACAAGACCAGTTGTGCTGAAGAAGTGCCTAAAATGCAAGCACTGCTCCTACCCTTGCAAACTGCCAGGCAACGGGAGGGATGGAGCTGAAAAGGTTGTGGGTAATTATGGAAGCCTTTCAGCCCAAGTACAGGAGGAACTGAAGCCATCTTGGGATGTCCCCTGGAATTCTTCTGGCTGCATCCAAGAAATGGAAGATCCTGTCTGTTCTCTGCGTTCACTGTCACCATCCAGACACTCCCCAGCTCTATTTGCCTGCCCCCAGCAAACCTGAACCTTCACATGCGTAGGTCTTCCCCCAAGGACTTTTATTACTGCCTCCATTCTCAGATGTGGATTTCTTCATGGTCCCCACCATCCCACACAGCAACGAGCTGTAAATTCTAGGCAAGATTTTTGCTGTTTCGTAGGCCATATTTGCAGGTGCTGTAGTGCTACCTTGTCCCCAGCTGGCTCTCCTCTAGCACAGCTCCCCTGCTCCCTTAGCCTCCAGGTACTGCTCTCTTTCTCAGGTCATCAGGGGTGCTGCCATGGCTGATACACCAGCTTGCATTGTGCCATTGAGTTGCATTCTAATTCCTCGCTGCAGCTGGGTTTTGTGTCAGGATTATGAATTTGCGGTGTGGGCTTTCACGTTCTTTTTGGAACGATTTCTAAACCCAAAGGAGCAGCATCTCACATGGAAGCACTTAGAGACCTCTCACAAAGGCAGCATTGGAGTCTGGACCATTTCTGCCCTCCAGGGACACAGAACATTACAGGTACCAGTGCTGTGCAGGGTAGCCACTTGCGGGCAGCACCACACAGCTCTTCAGGATGAAGAGTGAAAAATAGCTCCAGTTGAAAGGAGAAGTGGTGCCCCCTTTTATATGAAGATCAACGATGCCTGGTACATTGGATTATCTTTTAAAACACTAGGACTTCAAATGCCAGGGTGCATGCACTCCTTCTGCTGACAGGTTAGTGATATATGATGTTGTTTGGGTTAGCAACTGAGCTCCTTTGTGCAAGCTTTTCATAAGGTGAATATAATATCTGCAGTGATGTACTCAACATTGCATCAGGAGAGCCAGCCTATAATTATGCTTGAATTGTTGGAATGGGTTATTTGTCATTTGCACATTAGCTCACTCCATTTATTGCTACCACTCAGGGCTGCAGCAAACTTGGTGTAAACAGAGCTTAGGTGGAGGTTTTGGTCATTTGATTTTTTTTTTTTTTTAATGCAGCAAAGCAGAATTTCCTTGGGTTTCTTCCTGTTTTCTGGAATGGCTGTTCACTGGCAGTGATAGGAACAAAATATCTGAACCAGCTGACTCAGCATGACTCCTTTGTTTTCAAAGACAGCTCTCAGGTGTACGGCTCAGCTTGGACTTTGGCGTGGACTTGGTGGCTCTGGAGTGAGCCAGAAGGTTCTCCACTGTATGTTTTGGGGTCTTTTGTCTGTTTGTTTCGAGGAACCGAGTCTTCTTTGTGCTAAGAGCTACCTTATTATGTGGTCGTTTCAAGGCGTGCATCTTTGCTCAAAGCAGCACTGTTTGTCTTGGGGTAATCAGAGAATCCTTAAGATTGGAAAGGACTTCTGAGATCACCAAGTCCAACCCCAGCCTACCCCCACCGTGCTCACTGACCACATCCCTTAGTGCCACATCTCCTTGGTTCTTGAACACCTCCAGGGATGGTGATCCCACCACCTCCCTGGTCAGCCTGTGCCAGTGCATCGTCACCTTTGAGAAGCTTTTTTTCCCTAATATCCAACCTGAGCCTCTCCCGGTGCAGCTCAAGGCCTTTGCGTTGAGATACCTGATGGTACCTAATTTTCTTGCTAGTGATCAGCAAATACATACCCTGCCTGCTCTGAGCTGCATGGCTCAGGGCACTTGCTGCAGGTGCCATCTTGTTTGCCTTGTGTTGCAGGCACGGATTTCATGGGGGAAGTCCGTATACATGTGGTCCCTTGGCATCTCAGCTTGGATGAGTGCCGTCCAATAGCGGTTATTCACCTGAAGCTTATAAAATGAATGTTTAGATTTCAGATCAAAAATAAAATCAATTCCATTTGCAGAACTGGATCTACCAGCTAATGTCAAATTCTCCAGAGCGGGATTTTCGCTTCAGGGTGCCCTGTTGGACACATTGGCTTAGTTGGCACAGGGCACATCCTACTGTTCTGTAGCCCCAGGCTCAACTCTACACATCACATAATGTTTTGCAAGCATTTCTGAA